GGAGGGGAGTGTGTTTGAGAGAGAGGCATGGAAGGAGGATGGGAGTGTGGTTGAGAGACATGGAAGGAGGGAGGATGGGAGTGTGGTTGAGAGACATGGAAGGATGGGAGTGTGGTTGAGAGACATGGAAGGAGGGAGGATGGGAGTGTGGTTGAGAGACATGGAAGGATGGGAGTGTGGTTGAGAGACATGGGAGGATGGGAGTGTGGTTGAGAGACATGGAAGGAGGGAGACCCCTCCCCCCTCCTCATGGGCCCATTAGGTGCACAGTTTCTTGAACAATTCCACATTATTAGCTGAGATCGCCGCCTGTGGCAGTGAGTTCCAGACCCTAACAGCTCTCACTGTGAAGAACCCCCTTCGCCCCTACCGGCCATTGCACAAACACACGCACAACATGCAGGGCATACGCGCAGCACAACACGCAGGGCATTACACACAGCACAACATGCAGGCACTACACGCAGGGAATACACGCAGGGCATTACACACATGGCATACACGCAGCATTACACACATGGCATACACGCAGCATTACACACAGGGCATACACGCAGCATTACACACATGGCATACACGCAGCATTACACACAGGGCATACACGCAGCATTACACGCAGGGCATACTAGCAGTATTACACGCAGGGCATACTAGCGGCATTACACACAGGGCATACTAGCAGCGTTACACGCAGGGCATTACACACAGCATTACACACATAACATACACACATGGCATACACGCAGCATTACACACAGGGCATACACGCAGCATTACACACAGGGCATTACACACATAACATACACGCAGCATTACACGCAGGGCATTACACACATGGCATACACACAGAATTACACGCAGGGCATACACAGCATTACACGCAGGGCATACACGCAGCATTACACGCAGCATACTAGCAGTATTACACGCAGGGCATACCAGCAGCATTACACGCAGGGCATACTAGCAGCATTACACGCAGGGCATTCCTGTGTGGTCTAGTATATAAGAGTACCTGTGTGGTCTAGTATATAAGAGTACCTGTGTGGTCTAGTATATAAGAGTACCTGTGTGGTCTAGTATATAAGAGTACCTGTGTGGTCTAGTATATAAGAGTACCTGTCCCCCTGTATGTTGCGGTCTCTGAGGAAGGTATCTAAATGCTTTTATGAATGATTCCACACTCTCAGCTGATACCACGGCTTGTGGAAGAGAGTTCCAGAATGTAACCGCTCTGACTGAAAAGAACCCCCTACCCCCCTTTGTGGTTAAATCTTTTCTCCACCAGTGTTAGGAGGCGGCCTCTAGTCCTTGTTATGGAGTTCAATGTAAACAGTCTATTGCAGATGTTGCCATCACCACCCAACATTTTGTACATCACAATCATGTCTCCTCCTAATCTCCTCACTTCCAGCGTGAACATGTTTAGATTTAGTAGCCTGGTCTCATAGCTTTGGTCCTCCAGCCACTCCCCCTCCTTGTCTCATAGCTCTGGTCCTCCAGCCCCCTAATTAGTTTGGTTCCCCTTCTCTGGACTCTCTCCAGCTCCAGGACTTCCTTCCTGTGGATCGGTGACCAAAACTGGACCAGATGAGGCCGAACCAGCGATCTATAAAGTGGCAGAATTATCGCTTTGTCTCTACAGAACATTCCCGTTATAATACAAGACAGAACTCTGCCCGCTGTGTGTGCCACAGCCTGGCATTGTGTGCCTCAGCCTGACATTGTGTGCCCCAGCCTGGCATTGTGTGCCCCAGCCTGACATTGTGTGCCCCAGCCTGGCATTGTGTGCCCCAGCCTGACATTGTGTGCCCCAGCCTGGCATTGTGTGCCCCAGCCTGACATTGTGTGCCCCAGCCTGGCATTGTGTGCCCCAGCCTGACATTGTGTGCCCCAGCCTGGCATTGTGTGCCCCAGCCTGACATTGTGTGCCCCAGCCTGGCATTGTGTGCCCCAGCCTGACATTGTGTGCCCCAGCCTGGCATTGTGTGCCCCAGCCTGACATTGTGTGCCCCAGCCTGGCATTGTGTGCCCCAGCCTGACATTGTGTGCCCCAGCCTGGCATTGTGTGCCCCAGCCTGACATTGTGTGCCCCAGCCTGGCATTGTGTGCCCCAGCCTGACATTGTGTGCCCCAGCCTGGCATTGTGTGCCCCAGCCTGACATTGTGTGCCCCAGCCTGGCATTGTGTGCCCCAGCCTGACATTGTGTGCCCCAGCCTGGCATTGTGTGCCCCAGCCTGACATTGTGTGCCCCAGCCTGGCATTGTGTGCCCCAGCCTGACATTGTGTGCCCCAGCCTGGCATTGTGTGCCCCAGCCTGACATTGTGTGCCCCAGCCTGGCATTGTGTGCCCCAGCCTGACATTGTGTGCCCCAGCCTGGCATTGTGTGCCCCAGCCTGACATTGTGTGCCCCAGCCTGGCATTGTGTGCCCCAGCCTGACATTGTGTGCCCCAGCCTGGCATTGTGTGCCCCAGCCTGACATTGTGTGCCCCAGCCTGGCATTGTGTGCCCCAGCCTGACATTGTGTGCCCCAGCCTGGCATTGTGTGCCCCAGCCTGACATTGTGTGCCCCAGCCTGGCATTGTGTGCCCCAGCCTGACATTGTGTGCCCCAGCCTGGCATTGTGTGCCCCAGCCTGACATTGTGTGCCCCAGCCTGGCATTGTGTGCCCCAGCCTGACATTGTGTGCCCCAGCCTGGCATTGTGTGCCCCAGCCTGACATTGTGTGCCCCAGCCTGGCATTGTGTGCCCCAGCCTGACATTGTGTGCCCCAGCCTGGCATTGTGTGCCCCAGCCTGACATTGTGTGCCCCAGCCTGGCATTGTGTGCCCCAGCCTGACATTGTGTGCCCCAGCCTGGCATTGTGTGCCCCAGCCTGACATTGTGTGCCCCAGCCTGGCATTGTGTGCCCCAGCCTGACATTGTGTGCCCCAGCCTGGCATTGTGTGCCCCAGCCTGACATTGTGTGCCCCAGCCTGGCATTGTGTGCCCCAGCCTGACATTGTGTGCCCCAGCCTGGCATTGTGTGCCCCAGCCTGACATTGTGTGCCCCAGCCTGGCATTGTGTGCCCCAGCCTGACATTGTGTGCCCCAGCCTGGCATTGTGTGCCCCAGCCTGACATTGTGTGCCCCAGCCTGGCATTGTGTGCCCCAGCCTGACATTGTGTGCCCCAGCCTGGCATTGTGTGCCCCAGCCTGACATTGTGTGCCCCAGCCTGGCATTGTGTGCCCCAGCCTGACATTGTGTGCCCCAGCCTGGCATTGTGTGCCCCAGCCTGACATTGTGTGCCCCAGCCTGGCATTGTGTGCCCCAGCCTGACATTGTGTGCCCCAGCCTGGCATTGTGTGCCCCAGCCTGACATTGTGTGCCCCAGCCTGGCATTGTGTGCCCCAGCCTGACATTGTGTGCCCCAGCCTGGCATTGTGTGCCCCAGCCTGACATTGTGTGCCCCAGCCTGGCATTGTGTGCCCCAGCCTGACATTGTGTGCCCCAGCCTGGCATTGTGTGCCCCAGCCTGACATTGTGTGCCCCAGCCTGGCATTGTGTGCCCCAGCCTGACATTGTGTGCCCCAGCCTGGCATTGTGTGCCCCAGCCTGACATTGTGTGCCCCAGCCTGGCATTGTGTGCCCCAGCCTGACATTGTGTGCCCCAGCC